ATGCGGGTACCCATGGCTACCCCCTTTGTCTGTAGGAAGTGGGAGGAATTGAAAGAGAAGTTGTTGAGTGTGAGGACGAGTTCGGCTAAGCGGATGAGGGTGTCAGTGGAGGGGGACTGGTCGGGCCTGCGGGACAGGAAGAAGCGGAGGGCCTTAAGGCCATCTGCATGGGGAATGCAGGTGTAGAGGGACTGGACGTCCATGGTAAAGATGAGGTGTTGGGGACCGGGGAATTGGAAGTTCTGGAGGAGGTGGAGGGCGTGGGTGGTGTCACGGACATAGGTAGGGAGTTCCTGGACCAAGGGGGAGAAAATGGAGTCGAGATAGTTGGAGATCAGTTCGGTGGGGCAGGAGCAGGCGGAGACAATGGGTCGACCAGGGCATTCAGGTTTGTGGATTTTGGGAAGGAGATAGAAGCGGGCAGTGCGAGGTTGGGGAACGATGAGGTTGGAGGCCGTGGGTGGGAGGTCACCTGAGGTGATGAGGTTGTGGATGGTTTGCGAGATGATGGTTTGGTGCTCAGGGGTGGGGTCATGATCGAGGGGGCGGTAGGAGGAGGTGTCGGAGAGTTGGCGTCCGGCCTCGGCGATGTAGATGTCAGTGCGCCATACTTGGCGTCCGGCCTCGGCGATGTAGAGGTGAAACAAATCAAAGCAAGTTATAAAACAAGGGTATCTCATAATTTCTGTTTAATTGGCAATCTTAGAAACACTGCAGCTTTTTACATTGTTAGCCGTGATGTGGAGGTGCCAGTGTTGGACTGGGTTGGGCAAAGTCAGAACTAACACGACACCAGGTTACAGTACAATAGGTTTATTTGAAATCCCAAGCTCTCGGAGCTCTGCTCCTTCATCAGGTGACTGTGACTGGTGTTGTGTGACTTCTGACTTTTTACATTGTTATGAATGGACAATTTAACTTGAACTTCTTAGATGTTTCAAAATGGGTCTTCAGTCCCATAAAGTTTGCTATTCCTTAGTGGGAAAATATTACGATAATTTACCAACTATAATACATCCACAAATATAATTTGCTCTCATGAATGAACTGCAAAATTTGGTTTGCAAACCAGGAGACCCTAGTGTCAAAATTTGAGAGAAAATCTGACTAAACTAGAGGCTCTGTTTCCACTCTACTTGCTTTGCAGATGATTCACACACCTACACAAATTGTGTAGTGATCAAGTTATCGAAAAGAGCCAACTTCATTTAACATTCGATTGAAAGTGACATGTGATATACCTGTGCCATTGCATTTTGGACGTGGACATTTCTAAATTTCCACAATTTTGACGGAGTTTGGAGGGCTTTGATGGGCAAAGTAAATGACCAGATGTTGCAAACCATGGAGGAGCCATGGTCTGGAGGTGGGAGCATTTTAAAGTCAGCACAAAAGGTGCTGCACACTTCACATGTCATAATGAAATGATATAGCGTAAGTCCTTCCCAAAATCCACAAACCTGACTGCCCTGGTCGACCCATTGTCTCCGCCTGCTCCTGCCCCACCGAACTTATCTCCACCTATCTGGACTCCATTTTCTCCCCCTTGGTCCAGGAACTCCCTACCTACGTCCGTGACACCACCCATGCCCTCCACCTCCTCCAGAACTTCCAATTCCCCAGTTCCCAACACCTCATCTTTACCATGGACGTCCAGTCCCTATACACCTGCATTCCCCATACAGATGGCCTAAAGGGCCTCCACTTCTTCCTGTCCCGCAGGCCCGACCAGTCCCCCTCCACTGACACCCTCATCCGCTTAGCCGAACTCGTCTTCACCCTCAACAATTTCTCTTTCAATTCCTCCCACTTCCTACAGACAAAGGGGGTGGCCATGGGTACCCGCATGGGCCCAAGCTATGCCTGCCTCTTTGTAGGTTATGTGGAACAATTCCTCTTCCGTACCTACGCTGGCCCTAAAGCCCACCTCTTCCTCCGTTACATTGATGACTGTATCGGCGCCGCCTCATGCTCCCACGAGGAGCTCGAACAGTTCATCCACTTCACCAACACCTTCCACCCCAACCTTAAGTTTACCTGGACCATCTCTAATACCTCTCTCTCCTTCCTGGACCTCTCTGTCTCCATCTCCGGCAACCACCTAGAAACCGATATCCATTTCAAGCCCACCGACTCCCACAGCTACCTAGAATACACCTCCTCCCACCCACCTTCCTGCAAAAATGCCATCCCCTATTCCCAATTCCTTCGCCTCCGCCACATCTGCTCCCAGGATGAGGCATTCCACTCCCGTACATCTCAGATGTCCTCATTTTTCAAGGACCACAACTTCCCCCCCTCAGTGGTCAAGAATGTCCTCGACCGTATCTCCCGCATTTCCCGCAACTCATCCCTCACACCCCCTCCCCGCAATAACAACCAAAACAGAATCCCCCTTGTCCTTACTTACCACCCCACCAACCTCCGGATCCAACGCATCGTCCTCCGACACTTCCGCCATCTGCAATCCGACCCCACCACCAAAGACATCTTTCCCTCCCCACCCTTATCTGCTTTCCGGACGGACCACTCTCTCCATGACTCCCTTGTCCGCTCTACACTGCCCTCCAGCCCCACCTCACCAGGCACTTTTCCCTGCAACCGCAGGAAGTGCTGCACCTGCCCCAACACCTCCCCCCTCACCCCCATCCCAGGCCCCAAGAAAACTTTCCACATCAAGCAGATGTTCACCTGCACATCTGCTAATGTGGTATACTGCATCCGCTGTTCCCGTTGTGTCCTCCTCTACATCGGGGAAACCAAGCGGAGGCTTGGGGACCGCTTTGCAGTACATCTACACTCGGTTCGCACTAAACAACTGCACCACCCAGTCACGAACCATTTCAACTCCCCCTCCCATTCCGCACACGACATGTCCATCCTGGGCCTCCTGCAGTGCCACGACGATGCTACCCGAAGATTGCAGGAACAGCAACTCATATTCCGCTTGGGAACCCTGCAGCCCAATGGTATCAATGTGGACTTCACAAGTTTCAAAATCTCCCCTCCCCCTACCGCATCCCAAAACCAGCCCAGCTTGTCCCTGCCTCCCTGACCTGTCCTTCCTCCCACCTATCCCCTCCTCCCACCTCAAGCCCCACCCCTCTCCTACCTACTAACCTCATCCCGCCCCCTTGACCTGTCCGTCCTTCCTGGACTGACCTATCTTCTCCCTACCTCCCCACCTACACTCACCTTTACTAGCTCCATCCCCGCCTCTTTGACCGGTCTGTCTCCTCTCCACCTATCTTCTCCTCTATCCATCTTCTATCCGCCTCCCCCTCTCTCCCTATTTATTTCAGAACCCCCTTCCCCTCCCCCATTTCTGAAGAAGGGTCTCGGCCCGAAACGTCAGCTTTCCTGCTCCTCTGATGCTGCTTGGCCTGCTGTGTTCATCCAGCTCTACACCTTGTTATCCTAGCGTAAGTTATGTTTGGTTTTACTGCAGTGATTGGCCATTGTATTTTGTTTTGAAGTAGTAATTGATCGTTAAATAATTTAATTGCCAGCTTATGTCTGAAAACTGGCAAGCAGTCAAAAAAAGAGAGGCATGTTGAAAGTGGGAATCCCTTCCCATCCATTAGAATACATTACCTACTGGGTAAATTACTATCCTACATTGTAAACTGTTGAAATCCAGATTTGTTTGTATGAAATTATCCTATTGTTTTAAGTTTTTGCTTGACGTTCAGCTGAGCCATCTTTTTATTTGTCCATGGGACATAGGCGTCTCTAGCTGGCCAGTATTTATTGCCCATCCACAGATGGTGGTGAGTTACCTTCTTGAACTGCTGCAGTCCACATACTGTAATTAAACCTGTTTTAAAACTTCCATAATTCTTTGTACTTCTAGTTGTGTTCAAATTCTCTAAATGATTCTACTCAGCAGAGGTTGTTTATACATCATTCAATGCAAAGTCAAAATGAATGCCTGACTGCCTTCTGATCCATCAATGGTCTGTTGTCTGCAGTTGTCAAGGAGAAACTGAGCCTATTTTGATAGTTTTATGAGTTTTTATGAGGACAATGGTCTTTCAAGTAGTTATCCACTAATGTTTTTGTATTTTGAAAGCTATGAGCTTTTCAAAGACTTCCAAACATTACCTTAGAGTTTGTGAGTTTTGTTTATTGTGGATACTGGATGAGTGGGTTTGGCGTGTATAAGGGGATGTTTGGAGGGATGAAAGATTATGGGTTAATCAGGGGGCTAAGGGAATGAAGTGGAATGGTGGATGAGGGGCATGACTAGGGCAATGGGAGTGTGAGGGAACGATGGGAAATATGGGGGTGGACATGGGAGGTGAAGGGAGAAGTGGCTGGTGAAGGGTTGAGGGAGTAGGGGTTGAAGGCTATGGGGAGCCTACATTCATCTCCAGAACTGAGCTGACATACCAGTGAACAGAAAGAGACACGTCGTTTAAACTAGCTACCACAATATGCACCACCTCCACCCCCCTCACGGATCTGTTACGGCATAAAGATAGCATTGGTGGGCACTGCCAGATAGGAGACAGAATGTCACAGTTGAGAAACCTCCTGACTCTCAATTTTCACCCCGAAGATGAAAATCTGGCCCATTCTGTATATCGCGTTCCATTACTGTTCCTTTGTTACTGCGCTAAATGCAGAGATTTAATTTAGTGACATTTAGACCATAAGATATAGGAGAAAATGAGGCCATTTAGCTCATCAAGTCTGCTCTATAAGCCAATCACGGCTTATATATTTCTCAACCCTGTTCTCCTGCCTTCTCCCCATAATCCTTGATTGACTCACTAATGAGTGACAATATTTAGTACTGAGAAAAAAGCAAATTAACTCATTGCTTTTCACAACATTGAAGTGAAGCTGGCCACTCAGTGACTGAATATGTGAAGATGCCTCTTTCCTTGGGAATGTTTTAACTTTAATTCACCCGGTAAAGTACATTTTAGCCATTACGATTAGAGGCAAAAGAAACAAATTTAAACAATTTCCTTTTAAGAAAAAACTACTATGGCTTTATATCCAACATAAAAGTTAATGTTTAATTTAGCATACAGCAATTTTTAAAAATCATGTGTAAGTTGTTCAGGTCTTTTTCACGCTCTCACAGTTGGATCCAATCTAATTTCTCAACGGTTGGTTCACTTTGGCAACATTATATCATTGACCTTGGAAGTCTTGTGACTTGATGTCTCACAGTGTTGTCATGTATTATATAGTTCCATTCAGGGAGATCATGGTGCCATTCTGGGCATCCTGTGTGTGGATTCTGGCCCAGTCAGGATAAGTGGACAGCTCGAACACATATAGACCCCAGGTATTTATGGCCAGCAAGAGCAGAAAGATGCCCAAAAGGTTCATGATGAATCCGGACTTCACCTGCATAGACAAATCCAATACATTAATAGTGGATTAAGGTGAAATGAGAGAAACATAGAAACTTGAAGCAAGAGTAGACCATTCGGCCCTTCGAGCCTGCTCTGTCATTCAATACACCATAGCTGCTTCTCTACCTCAATGCCATATTCTTTCTTTCTGTCATTACTCCCATGATACCCTTAAAATCCAAAAAAAAATCTATATACTTCTTGAATACATTCAGTGATTTGAACTCTGTAGCCTTCTGTAGTATAGAATTGAATGAGGAAAAGTTTTCTCATCTCAGTCCTAAATAGTCTACCTCGTGTCTTGAGACAGTGACACCTGGTTCTAGGGGGACCCAGCCAGGAAAACATTGTCCCTACATCTAGTCTGTCTAGCCCTGTTAGAATTTTATGTATTTCTATAAGATGCTGTCTGGCTATCACTGGTTTATATCAGCATTTATTGCCCATCCCTAATTGCTCAGAGGACAGTTGAGAGTGAAGCTCATTGCTTTAGGTCTGGAGTCGCATGTGGGCTAGACCAGCTAAAGACAGCAGTTTCCTTTCCTAAAGGATGTTAGTGAACCAGTTGGATTTTTCTGAACAATAGTTTCATGGTCATCATTAGGCGCTTAAATCCAGATTTTTATTGAATTCAAATTCTAACATCTACCTTGGCAAGGTTCAAACCAAGGTCCCAGAACATTATCTGGGTCTTTGGATTAATAGCATAGCAATTATACCACTAGGCCATCACCTCTCCCAATATAAAGGAACTCATATTTGAAGAGCAAGTGTGTTCTCTTTAACATCCTAGCTAACATTGTGGTTATTTATCTCCTTGCTGTTGGTAGGGCCTTATCATATTCAAACTGGCTGCTGTCCTTCATACATTATCACAAGTTACATTTCAAAAATAAGCACTTTATTAGGTGTGAAACAGTTTGAGACAACCTGACATTATGAAAATTCACTTTATAAGCATAAGTTCTTCCTTTCTAAAACAATATACTTTGGCATTTAATTAGTTTTGTTGATGTCCTGCAACGACTGGACTTGGTTCGACTTTGATTTCTTGGATCTCTCACTCATCCTTCCTCCTTTCCAGTTTAACAAAATTCATTAAATGTGCAGTTAGTTGATCAGAATCTGGTTGATCAAGACAAATTTGGCTCAACAGGAATTTTCCATCTACTTTCAGAAATGGAAAGCAACACTGCCAGCTTATACCGGTAGCAATGGGACAGCAGACTCAGCTTTGGATGTAACAGGGGAAGGTTTTTTACAGGAATTACTGCATGTGTACAAAATGCCTACTGATCTGAGTCTGATAACTAAATGGAACAGTTCATATAGAGACAGACAGTCAACTGTTGTCTCATCTGCTCACTTCATTTTTTTTTAAATTTGCTGATCCAAAGCTGCAAATTATGGCTAAAAATTCTGAGAGATTTTCAGCCCTGGAACTACTCTCACCAATTCAAAACTGAATGGGAACTGAAGACACTCTTGTTTGTCAAAAACTGCTCAACCATGACCTGGACATCAAATCACATGTCTTTTAGTGTTTTGCGTGCATCATGTAGCACTTCTAAAGGTCATTCACAATCTCGCAAACACAAGTCTGTTAATTGATCACCTGTCTAGTAAACTTTAGTCAGTGTTAACACCAGCCCCTAAACATATTGATAACGGGATAATTTGGGATGAAGATAACAGTTTGTAAAGCATTTTTAAACTGTAGTAGCTGCAAAAAATTGCTTGCATTTGACTTATGTATAAAATATTTCATCCATATTGTAATTATCGAGCCCATTGTATTCACTATTACGATTGACTCACTGCAACTTCAGTATGCTTTACCGTGCTTAAATGTAGTTAAACATCCCAAGGCACTTCGCAAGGGTGTTATCAAATTAAGTTTGATACTAGTCATTGGTATTAGAATTTTTTTGTCCACAAACTACTCAACTATTGATCGCATTGGAGCCAGTATTTTTTACCACTTCCTCCATTGTGTTGTATGGCATTATGACTGTGCTAAATGAGACAGATTTCAAACAGATCTAGCAACTCAAAACTAGGCATCATTGGCAGCAGCAGAATTGTATTCCAACACAATCTGTAACTTCATGGTCCAACATATTCCCCACTCTACCACTCCAGCAAGCCAGGAGATTAACCCTGGTTCAATGCGGGAAGGCATGCCGGTAACACGAGGGAACAGTTTTAAATTGTCAACAAAGCATTGAATTGTCAGCTAACTGAGAGCCAAGAAATCTTCGAAATCATTGAGATGTAGATGAAGGTGGAGTCTCTCGCATAAGGCTGCATAGACTTGGAAGCAAATAAATTTGGAAAAAAGTGTTATTGTTATAAACACTGTGTGCCAATTATTAAATTTAAATTTGAAATTGAGATGAAAGATGCTTTAAAAAAAGTAGCTACCTGGTTAAAATGCTTCAGCCTTGTGTATATGTGATGGAAACACATTAGCTGTGACCTCACTGATTTGCTGAGGTATGTTTAGAGTGATAGTTTTTTTGTGTGTAGAAGTGTCAGTTATTTTGAAAATAATTGTTGTTGCTAAATTATACCTGTTGTCTTGTGCTAATATAAATGCTGTGCTATCTCAGAAATTAATATTTTCCTTGTGGGTTGGGACTTTGCAGGGATGATAAATATTTAAGATACTGATGAATTCTTCTATTTCTGCTTGAAGTCAGTCTAAATATCACTTGTGTAAGTACAGAAGGCATTGCTAGTACACGGCTATATCACTTAATAAATGCATTGGTAACAATGGGAAAGGAGCCCCTCAAAACCAAAAGGTTGTCACTCAAAATCGAAATGTAGCCCTCAAGAAAATGTCAAGAAGACGGCTCAATAAAGAAATAATTCCTGGAACACAGGGCATAACTTCAAAGTTTGCAGATGCCAAAAACCTTGGAAATATAGGATGGGAATTTTGTTCAAGGAAACAGGGATGCATCTGCTTTGCAAGTGAGAAAATAGCATTAAAGGGAAATGAAAAGGAATTTAACATTATTGAAATCAAAGACCTGAAAGGTAATAGAATGAGGGATTTCCCAGGTAAAACAAAGACAGGGATGGAGATAATTATCAATTCTACCAATCATCAATTTCTCTCCAGTGAATTGACTATATTGAAAGTTCCATGGTGATTCCAAACCGAATGTTCCAGGTGATTTACACCAATACTGTCAAATCTCCTAGCCTCAACATAGGTATAATTCACGTTTGCCAGAAACGTAAACTAAAAAAATTGAAACCTACGCGTATTCACCTTGGCGTAGGCCAGTATGGCACATTAATATACACACGTCTATCTTCTAAATGGTCAAGATAGATGGGGATAACCTTCATTTAAATGAAAGTCATTCCATCGTGAACCAACATTAACCTTAATGCCCTCAGTCACAACAAGGACCTGGACTCATTGTAGGAAAGGGCAAAGTTAAAGAATTCCCTAACATCTCAACAATCGTTGATCAACGGCACATCACTGATTTCAATTTTATGCATTGAAGTTCAAAGCAATTTCAAACTGCTTCTTCAACTCAGGAATCCTACATACCATATCGATGACCCTTAGATTGCCCGTAGCAAAAGCAATTGAGTTTGGAGGTGTTGATATTGGAAGCATGAAAGCGTAGGAACCTACAACAGTTGCAGGGACCATCAGATAGAGGGGATTCACCCTCATGTGCAAAGCCTGTAATAAATGATAAGTAAATGGGATGAGATTCTGTCCTTGCAATTGAATGCAACCCATTAGATATCAATCCTATTGGCATTAGAAAGACTATATTATAGAGTCATAGTCATAAAGTCATACAACATGGAAACAGACTCTTCGGCCCAACCAGTCCATGCCAAACATAATACCAAACTAAACCAATCCCACCTGCCTGCTCCTGACCCAAATCTCTCCAAACCTTTCCTATTCATATACTTACCTAATTGTTGTAACTATGCCTGCATCTACCATTTCCTCAGGAAGCTCATTCCACACGTGAACTGCTCTCTGTGTAAAAAAGTTGGCCCTCATGTCTTTTTTCAATCTCTCTTTTCCTTGGAAAATAGGCGACAGGTTTAGATAGAGGAACTGGATCGGCGCAGGCTTGGAGGGCTGAAGGGCCTGTTCCTGTGCTGTAATTTTCTTTGTTCTTTGTTCTCTCCTCTCACCTTAAAAATATGCACCCTCATCTTGAAATCCCCCTTCTTAGGGAAAGACACCTACCATTAACCCTATCTATACCCCTTATGATCTTATAAACCTCTGTAAGATCACCTCTCAACCCTCTAAGCTCCAGTGAAAAAAGTCCCTGTCTATCCAGCATCTCTATATAACTTAAAACTTTCATACCCGGCAACATCTTGCTAAATCTCTTCTGATCCCTCTCCAGCTTGTAGATAAAAATCCACTTCTGCTTTTTGATTGCAGGGCTGTGATTTTTCAGGGCTGTCGGGGTAGCGGGGAGGGCAGGTATCAAGTGATATGCTTGACACCACATTCACCATTCCATTTTGCCAGTGTCAGGTAATGTGGTGGGGAGTCTGCCTACTATCCTAATTAAGGATCTATTCCTGATTCCACTGGCACTTTACCAGTGGCAGAAGGGTCTCTTCGTGACATGGGGAGAGAGAGAGAGACGGGAAAATCCTGGCAGGTTCTGAGCAGATCTGATGGCAGGAGGTCCTTAATTTCTTTGAATAGGTTTTGGTCTATGACTGGCAGCAATGGTACATGCTCCTAACAATTTCTACTGCTTTGTTGGAGCCTGCCTGATGGATGCAAGTGCCTCCAGTCCTCATCAGTCTGACTCAGAGGGCATATGAACACTCCTGTATCCTCTTCCTCCAGATGTAGTCCCAGCAATGGCTACTGCTCTGGGTGGCGCTCTGACAGATGCACCCATTGAACTCACTGCTACCTGTAAAATGTGGCCTAGGGTCCTGTCAAGTGGAGTGACACCCAATGCCACACACCACCCTCCCCTCCCCCACCCCACCCCAGCCCTTCATACCCCACTGATTCGAAGGGAGTCATTCCAGGGGTAGAGGTTGTATGGCTGGAAGAAATTATAGTGTGGATGGATGAAACCACAGAGAGGTGGAGATAAAATCCAAGATAAGGATTTTAGAATAAATTGTAATTGAAACATTGTCAGTCCATGTGCTAATGTAGGTAGTGAACACAGTCATTTTAAAACCGCAATTTAAAAAAAGACTGTTAATTCTTCTTATTTATTTATGGGATATGGACATCGCTGGCTAAGCCAGCATTTATTACCCATCCCTAATTGCCCTGAGGAAGATGGTAGTGAGCTGCCCTGTTAAACCACTGCAGTCATTTTGATGTAGGGACATCTACAGTGTTGTAGGAAGGGAGTCCAGGATTTTGACACAGCAACAATGAAGGAATGATGGTATCGTTCCAAATCAGAATGGTGTGTAACTTGGAGGAGAACTTGCAGTTGGTTGTTCCCATGCAGCTGCTGCCCTTCCTCTTCCAGGTGGTAGAGATTGTAGGTTTGGAAGGTGTTGTTGGGGAGCCTTGGTGTGTTGCTGCAGTGCATCTTGTGGATGGTATACACTGCTGCTACTGAGTGTCACTAATGAAAGGAGTGAATATCAGAAAAAGTGGATGAGGTGCCAATCAAGTGGCTGCACAGTGGGAACAAATATGTTGTTTTCTGAATGGCAGACAGGGTTTAGTGGGGTACCACAGAGATCGGTACAAGGACCCTAACTATTCACAATATATGTTAACGACTTAGATGAGAGGACTAATTATAACGTCTCAAAATTTGCAGATGACTCAAAGCTGGGTGGAAGGGTGAGCTGTGAGGAAGATGCAGAAATGTCCCGGTGTAATTTGAACAGGCTGTGTGAGTGGGCAAAAGCATGGCAGATGCAGTATAATGAGGATAAATGTGAGGTTATCTGCTTTGGGAACAAAAACAGGAAGGCAGATTAATATTTGAATGTAAATTGAGAGAGGGAAATGTGCAATGAGACCTGGGTGTCCTCATGCACCATCCATTGAAAGTAAGTATGCAGGTGCAGCAGGTGGAAGAGAAAGCAAACTGTACGTTGGCCTTCATAACGCAAGGGTTTGAGTGCAGGATCAAGGATGTCTTGCTGCAATTATACATGAGGCCATAGCTGGAATGTTATGTGCGGTTTTGGTCTCCTTACCTGAGGAAGGATGTTTTTGCTATGGAGGGAGCGCAGTGAAGGTTTACCAGACTGATTCCTGGGATGGCAGGACTGACATATGAGGAGAGAGTGAATCAGTTAGGATTGTACTCGCTGGAGTTTAGAAGAATGAGGGAGGATCTCATGGAAACCCATAAAATTATAACAGGATGCAGGGAGGATGTTCCCGAAGGTGGGGGAGCCCAGGGACACAGTTTAAGGATATGAGACAAACCTTTTAGGACTGAAATGTGGAAAAATTTCTTCACTCAGAGAGTGCTGAGCCTCTGGAATTCACCATACGGCAAGTGGTTGAAGGCAAAACATTATGTGTTTTCAAGAAGGAGGTGGCTCTTGTGGCTAAAGATACCAAGGGGCATTAGTGGAGGGTATGATCAGGGTTTTGAACTCAATGATGAGCCATGATTGTATTGAATGGCAGAGCAGGTTCAAGGGGTTGAATTGCTTAATCCAGGTCCTAGCTTCTGTGTTTCTGTAGTTTGTCCTGAATGGTGTTGAGCTTCTTGAGTGTTGTTGAAGCTGCACCCATCCGGGCAAATGGGAAGTATTCCATCACACACCCGACTTGTGCCTTGAAGATCATGGACAGACTTTGGTAGCCTGGAGTTGAGTTACCCACTGCAGAATTTCCTGCCTCTGGCCTGCTCTTGTAGCCACAATGTTTTAACACATGCAAGGCAATCTTCTCAGATAGCTGGCCAATATCTCGCCATCAGTCAACACCACTAAACATGCTACTGGGTCAGGATAATACTGTTGCTTGTAGGCACCTTAGTGTATGCAAGTTGTTCCCAAGTTTCCTGCACTGTGGAACTTTTCAAAAATACTGCAAAGTGCTTGGGATATTCTAAGGTCATGGAACGAGCCATCAAAATGCAAGCTTTTCTTTTCCCACTCTTTCAAGAAACTCACCAATTCAGCCACAATTGGTAACATTATTACAATCGTAGCAGTGTTGCTGGCGAACTCAGTAAAACATGATATCAGCAAGCAGATTAGGATAATCGCTGTAGTTGGCTTGATAGTCACCATTGGCTGAAGTTGGTTGCCTATCCAGATGGACAGTCCAGAAGCCTGGAAAATAGATACTTTAAGTTAGACAAGCAAAATGCTAAATTCAAAGGGTTTGGACATTCTGGAAGAAGATGCACCAAACCAAAACCTGTGAAAATATGGTATCCTCAGGACCAACTATTTTTCAGATGAAGGATATTTTCAGTTTTTGTGTACAAGACAGTTAACAGATTTGCACAGTTTTAGTCACTTGTTCTAACATGGCAAATAAGGTTAAAATCAAGGTCATGGTACCTGTTTGAATTTCTGGGACCTGTCACATTCTGCTGAATGTGTCGGGAAATCTTTGCCACCTTGCATAATGAATCAGTTAAATAATTCAGAATGGTTATCATTTCCAGTAATGGCTACACCCAACTATCACTGATCACATTATATGCATAGGTGTGTATAAACAGCTATTCACAGAGTGAAAAATCAGGCACAAAATCAAAACACTGGCATTTACCAGGATACACTTAGGTCCATTATAATTCTTTGGGGCTCTCTTTGGGTCGGTTTGGGTCTGTTCGAGTTAAGCAGAGATTTTTCTTCCAAAAGGCCTGAAGGAAGCCTGTCTACAGGTCTGTTCGAGTCCACTTTCAAAAAGACCTTCAATTTTTAGATCTTTTCAGTTTCTGGGTGTGCGGTTAAATGATACCTTAGTAGGGATCAGAAATAAAAAGAGAAATTCAGCAGGTCTGGCAACCTCTGTGGAGAGAGGAACAGAGTTAATGTTTCAAGTCCAATATGACTCTACTTCATAACTCCAAAGAACTGTGAGCTCCAATTCAGCAGGACTGTAAATGAAGTGAGATTGATGTATTGTGAGGAACAGAGGAATCTGGTTGACAGGAATCACAAATATTTGGTACAGCAAGGGAATAGGAAGACAAATGGAATGTTGTTGTTCATTGCAAGAGGAATGCAAGATAAAATCAGGGATGCTTTGTTACAGTTGTATAGAGAATTGGCGAGGCTACATCTGGAGTACTGTGTCCAGTTTGGACCTCTTTATTTAAGAAAGGATGTAAATGCCTTAGAAGCAGTTCTGAGAATGTTAACTCAAGTGATACTTGGGGTGAGAGGGAAAGTTCAAGAGAATTGCTGAAAAAAGTCACAAGCTTTTCAATGTTCACCCATCAGGACATTTTTCCAGAATACAAATTCAAACGGAAAATCAACATTTAAACTGCATTTGAGAAGAGTTCTGATTGGTTGGCAAGTAGACTCTGATCAGTCAAGGCATTGCAATAGACAATGCATGCATTAATGTGATTGACAGTTAACATTTAGGGAAACATAGAAAATGGAAACAGGAGTAGGCCATTCTGTCCATTAGACTCACTCTGCTATTCAATTTGATCGTGGCTCATCCTCTATCTCAACATCATATTTCTGCCCTTGCACTATGTCCTTGACACCTTTAGCCTTTAGTCTCTTTTTTCTTAAATATGTTCAGTGACTTGGTCTCAATAACCTTCAGTGGTAGAGAATTACATAGGTTCACTCCCCTCTAAGTGAGGAAATTTCTCCTCATCTTAGTCTGAAGTTGCCTACTGCATCTTCTGCGACTGTGATCCCTTATTCTGGACTCCCCAGTCAGTGGAAACATCATCACTGCATCCAGTCTGTCCATCCCTGTCAGAATTTTACACATTTCGATGAGACCCTCTCTCATTTGTTTCAATGCCTGTGAACTCAGGCCAAGTTTGATCCAATTTCTCCCTATACAACAAACTTGCCATCCCAGGAATCAGTCTGGTGAACCTTCTCTGCACCCCCTCTATGTCTTTCGTTAGTTTAGGAAACTGCACATGATACAGCTGGTGTGGTCTCAGTAAGGCCTGGTGCAGCTGCAGTAGGACTTCTTTGCTCCTGTACTCAAACCCTCTTGCTATGAGTGCCAACACACCATTTTGCTTTAACGTTTTCTGTACTTACATGCTTGCTTTCAGTGACCACTACACAAGTACACCCAGGTCCCTTTTTACATCAATGTTTCCCAATTTACCAACATTTAAATGATACTTTGCCATTATGTTTTTCCTTCCTCACATTTACCTACATTACCTGCACTGGGGAGGCAATGGCCTACTGGTATTATCACTGGACTATTAACCCAGAGACCCATATAATGGGGTTGAATTCTGCCACAGCAGATGGTGGAATTTGAATTCAATTTTTTTAAAAAAAGTCTGGAATTAAATTTAAGTAGTCACCCAGCATCTAATGATGACCATGAATCTATTGTCAATTGTTGGAAAAACCCATCTGGTTCACTAATGTCCTTTAGGGAAGGAAAATGCCATCCTTACCTGGCCCAGCCTACACGTGATTTCAGAACCCACAGCAATGTGGTTGACTCTTAACTGCCCTCTGGGCAATTACAGATGGGGAATAAATCCTGGCCTAGCCAGCATGCCCTTGTCCCATGAATGAAATTTTTTAAAAATTGCATCTACCATATATTCATGCAGTCACTCAACTTGTCTAAGTCACCTTGGTGCATCTTTATATCCTCCTCGCTACTCATGTTCCAACCTAGTTTTGTGACATCAGCAATCTTAGAAATATCATATTTGATACCTTCATTCATATCATTGGTATATATTGCTAATAGCTTGGGCCTAAGCACGGATTTCTGTGGTACCTCATTTCTCACCTCATTCCATTCCAGAAAAGATCTATGTATTCCTGTTTTCTGCTTCCTCTCTGCTAACCAATTCTGAATCCATCTAGCATATCAGCATAACCCATGTACTTTGATTTTGCACACTAATTTCTTCTACGAGACTTTATCAAAAGCTTTCTGAAAATCCAAATACATCACAGCCACTGGTTCTCCCTCATTGATTCAACTAGTTTTATCCTCAAATTCTTTGAGTAGGTTTGTCAAACATGATTTCCCTTTCACAAATCCATGCTGACTTGTGTAGTACCGTTGGTATTTTTTAAGTATCCTGCTTAAAAATTCAGGAGTCTCCTCTTTAAGCTGGTGATGAGAAGAGTTGTGTGTCTTTGGAACTATCTTCCCCAGAGAGTGCAGGTTCAGTCAGTGAAAACTTATAAGGCAGAGATAGATAGATTCTTAACTAACAAGGGAGTCAAAGGTTATTAAAGAAATGTAGAGGCAAGGCCATCATCAGACCAGCCAAGATATTATTGAATGGTAGAACAGTTAGAGGGGCTGAATGAGCTAGTGCTGATCCTAATGTATAATGGTCAGGAAAAAAACAGATACACAAAGGCTTTGCTAATTGGCCATTCTTCATGTTCTGTTCTTCAACCTACACTCCTAATTCTACATCAGAGGTTGACTTATGAGCTAGGTCCTACTATCTTTCTCCCTCCCCTTGTGGAGCAGGAAAACATTTTATGGAACAAAACATCTTGCCTTTGAATGAGTGTGAGTTACTAACCCTAGAAAATATAGTTAATTGTACCTTCAGCACAGGAATTCACATGATGAGAGTATACTACAAAATTAAAGCAGAAAACAGTGAGCTCCTGTCAAGTTTGCAATGATACTACATCTATTCAAATGAATGATTTATGGTTATGCAACTTGAAAGTTGTTATACTGAAGTCGGTGCCTCAGGTCCTCCTATGTACTCCAATTACAAAAATGGGGAATGTCTAATTATGAAATAGCAATGCAAAATAAATGGATATGTGTCATTTTTGGGGACAACAAAATACAAAGAACTCCATGTTCTCCAAAATGTCTATGTCAATGCCCCCTCCTCCTGGACACCACCCCAAGGCCTCCTACCCTCCCTCGACCTCTTCATCTCCAACTGCCGTCGAGACATCAATCACCTCAACCTCTCCACCCCTCTCACCCACTCCAACCTCTCCCCCGCAGAACGTGCAGCCCTCCGCTCCCTCCGCTCCAATCCCAACCTCACCATAAAACCCGCGGACAAGGGAGGTGCAGTTGTAGTATGGCGCACTGACCTCTACATCGCCGAGGCCGGACGCCAACTCTCCGACACCTCCTCCTACCGCCCCCTTGTTCAAGACCCCACCCCTGAGCACCAAACCATCATCTCGCAAACCATCCACAA